TTGGGTGGATCTTTCCTTGGGTGTGTCATTCTATTCTTAGCTCCGCCCACTATTAAATTTCATACCTTTCCATTCTGATAGGCTGGTTTCTCTTTTCATCACTTTTCCTGTCCAGACAGGAACAAGGAGGCCGTCACTTTGTACTTGTTGTGTTGCTGATACTCATGGTGCTTTAATCCCCCATTTCCATTTGATCATTTTTTTTTTTTTTCAATTTGGTTACTTTGGATTTTGTTTTGTAAATAGCCCATAAATATCTGTAAGTATAGTGCCCACTGTGAGCTGCGGATGTAGGGAGTGCGACACCATTTTGCTTTGATTAAGTTTTCTCACTGTTTTGCAGCTAGTCAGGGTGATAGGTAAGTTTTGTGTAATGTTATTTTCTTTTTATTTGGGTTAGGTAAAGGTGTTTAGTTTGTTATTTTGGCCAGGTTGGCTCCTGAAGTTGTTAAGAAAATCAAGAAGTTTATCCGCCGTGAAAAGATGATGGTTACATGGTCTTATCACACTGACTGAACAATCTGAAGTTTGAACACGTTTTATTTTGATTTCATTTTATATAACACACACACGCACAGTCCTTCATGTATCCGCGGGTGTTACATTCCGTGACCATCCATCTTCAGGCCCCATATACATTCAGTGACAAAAAAAGTGAAGCACCCAGACAGAGTGTTGGAAATTAAATGAATCTGCACGTGGTGATAGGTCATGTGACTGTATTGCCATGATTATAATATCAGATCAAAGCAACAACAGAATTGGCAGTATGGGCACACTGCTGGTCCCATGTCCCATGGTTCCCCCCCCAGGCCAGGATACATTCAGAGATACAGTGCAGAAGGGAGTCGTACAGCCGTTGTATCCTCTCCTGTGGCAAGTCGGCCCACAGCTGTTGTAACTGGCCCTGAAGATCCTGCAGATTGAGTTGATGTCCGAACTGATCCCACACATGTTCAATTGGGGAAAGATCGGGGGACCTGGCTGGCCACGGGAGGACCTCAACATGACGCAGGCAATTGATAGACACACGAGCCATTGTCTTGTCGAAAAACTGTACCAGGGTGCCATCTCAGGAGGGGTAAGACATGCGGACACAGGATGTCACTGACGAAACGCTGTCCCATCAGGGTTCCCCGAATCACTACCAGAGATTCATCGTTGAACATGGTAGGACGCCACTCGTCATCAGTCCATGCCTCCCGGTTATGGCATCACTTCAAACACAGCTGACTCTGCGCTGATGTTAACGGCAGCTTACTCATGAACGGTGAACCCATAGGCTGACACACAATACGACGATCCTCCCTTGGTGTTGTCTGTCTTGGGCAACCGGAAACT